ACAAATTTATATATATATATATATTTTTTTTTTTTTTTTTTTTTTTTGCCATCACAAATTTATATATATTCACGAGGATAAAACAGCAAACGGATATTAAAATAGTTTTTAATCATCCAATAATAGTAGAGTCGTATCTACCCATATCTTTTTATCAAATTACAAAATTCTTAGCTGGTCAGAATTCACGTTACATTTGGTTTCAGATACGTTCTTATCAAAAATCAAAAGTTAATTAGTATTTGGCAAGTTAGACACATAAGAGTTCCAAGTTTTGAGTCAGGTAAAGCTGTTTATTCGTATTACACATGTAGTTAGGGTCTGTAATTAGAATCATTTAACGGGGCTTAAGTGATTTATCAGAACACAAATTTCTGTAAATATATAAATCAAAGATGTGTGGATAAGTCGTGTCCATCGATATTCAAATAACTAAATCCCCTCTTCCATGCATGTGGCTTTGACGAGTACTGTCTTCTGTCGTCATAAGTTTTTTCTATATATAATCAACGAATCTTTCTTTGGTAGTGAGAAAAAGATATTGTGAACCAAACTCATAACTAACTTTCAGACACAAGCTTCTAACTAGGAGAGACAGAGATAAAGTCTGTATAGTACTCTCTAGTCTCTATAATTGGTTTGACATATTTTCTGATACCGTGGTGATAACTTAATCATGGAAGATCAGGTCTCCAGCAAGAATACTCCGGATCTGGCCGAGAAGCCGACCAATGAAAAGCCTCCCGGAGTTAATAGATACGCTCTTCAGTGTTCTATTGTCGCATCTATCGTCTCCATCATCTTTGGTTACGGTAAGTGTATTATAAGAAATCACCAAAAACCAACATTTTTGTTGAATATTGTGGGAATTTAAATTTGAAAGGATGATATAAAAGCATTTGTTTACAACTTTACACATATATAAAGCGTTTACCCCTGGTAATTTAAAATTTTAGAGGCTAGGATTTATATATATGCTAGATCCCACAAAGAGATGTCTTAGTTTCTTCTTTTTCTATGTCAAATTTATTGTTTTACATATATATATGTTCTCTATTTTTATTTTGTTTTTGATATCTACATAGTATTCAGCAATATAATTTATGTGGGTAATTTTTTTTTAAATGATCACAAGAAACGATAATATATGGTACTTTTTGGTATATGTGTATAGATACTGGTGTTATGAGTGGAGCAATGGTATTTATCGAAGAAGATCTCAAGACTAACGAAGTTCAGATCGAAGTTCTCACCGGAATCCTCAACCTCTGTGCCCTATTCGGATCATTACTCGCCGGAAGAACCTCAGACATAATCGGACGTCGTTACACAATCGTCCTGGCCTCAATACTCTTCATGTTAGGTTCAATACTAATGGGTTGGGGTCCAAGTTACCCCGTTCTCCTCACTGGTAGATGCACAGCCGGTCTAGGCGTCGGTTTTGCTCTAATGGTTGCTCCGGTTTACTCAGCCGAGATAGCAACCGCTTCACATAGAGGACTCTTAGCTTCTCTTCCACATCTTTGCATCAGTATAGGGATTTTACTAGGTTACCTAGTCAATTACTTCTTCTCCAAGTTACCTATGCATATCGGTTGGAGGTTGATGCTCGGAATAGCTGCGATCCCGTCGCTAGTTTTAGCGTTTGGGATCTTGAAAATGCCTGAGTCTCCACGGTGGTTGATCTTACAAGGCCGTCTCGGAGAAGGGAAGAGGATATTGAACTTAGTATCGAACTCGCCTGAAGAAGCTGAGTTACGGTTTCAAGACATCAAAACAGCTGCTGGAATCGATGCTAAATGTGAAGATGAGGTTGTGAAGATGGAGAACAAGAAGACTCACGGTGAAGGAGTGTGGAAAGAGCTGATCTTAAGACCGACACCTGCGGTAAGAAGAGTTCTTTTGACTGCGTTAGGGATTCATTTCTTCCAGCATGCTACTGGAATCGAAGCAGTTCTTTTATACGGTCCGAAGATCTTTAAGAGAGCAGGGATCACGGCTAAAGACAAGCTTTTCTTGGTTACAATCGGTGTCGGAATCATGAAGACGACGTTTATCTTCACAGCGACTTTCTTGCTTGACAAGGTAGGGCGGAGGAAGCTTTTGTTGACTAGCGTTGGAGGAATGGTTTGTGCGTTGACGATGTTAGGGTTTGGGCTTACGATGGCTCAGAACTCTGGCGGGAAACTAGCTTGGGCTTTGGTGTTGAGTATAGTTTCGGCTTATAGTTTTGTAGCGGTTTTCTCTATTGGGCTTGGGCCGATAACTTGGGTGTATAGCTCTGAGGTTTTCCCGTTGAAGCTTAGGGCGCAAGGCGCGAGTCTTGGCGTTGCGGTGAATAGAGTGATGAACGCTACGGTGTCTATGTCGTTTTTGTCGTTGACTAGGGCGATAACTACTGGAGGAGCTTTCTTTATGTTCGCTGGAGTTGCGGCGGTGGCGTGGAACTTCTTCTTTTTTCTGATGCCGGAGACGAAAGGTAAGTCGCTTGAAGAGATTGAAGCGCTTTTTCAAAGGGATGGTGATAATAATACACGCGGCCAGAGCGGCACAGTTTAATGTTTTGTATATGTTTTTTCTTATCGTTTGCTTCTGCTTTTAGCGTGTTCTTTTTGGCGTTTCAATGTTCTTTGTGTGTGGCTTTTATCAGTCTATAAGCCAATGGCCAAGATGGAATATACTTTAACGTCGTCTCTATTATCAGTGCCGGCTTAAAACTAGATTGGACCCTTGAACAATAGTTTTTTTATGTACTAAGCAAAATATTTTGGACCTTTTTTGTAAGAAACAAACATAAGTATAGACCCTTTTTATCATTAAATTTGGTTAATTTTAAGATGGACCCATGGCATATGCCATGTTTGCCACCCCCTAGAGCCGGCACTGTCTATTATGATTCCCTTAATCACGTCATCATAACTATTGTATACAGAGTCATCTTCTTCATTAAGAATAATCAAGTTACTTTTCAAAATAACACGATCGGCTCACAGTTTTAGTATTTGTTACTATTCAAGATCAACGGATCGTAACATGCCAATTACTTGAAGAGCACACATAACAACCCTTTTGTGTGTTTCAATGATTGGGATGTTCCGAGCAGCTCCCGCGATTTGATAGTAGCCTTTGTAATAGCCCAGTGGGTTTCGTGGGCCGTTGTTAATTTCTGTGTCAAATAAAGAAAACGTGGTTTTAGGTAAAGACGCATGGAATCGGTAAAACGCCAACGACACGACACATAGATTAGCTGTCCATGTCCTAAAACGTCTTAAATTTCTTTTTCTTTTTTGTGTAAAACAACCGCCTCTCATTAAAAACGCCACTAAACACGTAACCTCATCCCACAATATCACGTATGAACCGTCGATCTTATATCAACATAGTCAATCTCGTCCGTCCATTAGTCCCAATCCTCTTATAAAAAACGCCTTGATCACCTAGACTTTCATACCCTCTCTCATCTCTTTCAACTTTTTTGTTCATAGCTTTTTCTCTAGATCTCTCTGTTATGTCGAATTGTCGATGTATTGTCAGTCTTTCAGATTCAGCTCATCGGTCATACTCACATGGATCTAGTTGCTCCGGTTTGATTCATGAATTATGATCCAGAAGACGGATCTTAGCTACTGAGATCTACAACGATCAGCTGGTAATCAAGCCTATCGTAGATGGATCTGATATTTGAATTCGATTTTGTAATATTATTTATTTTGTTAGTTATTCTCAGATCTGATCTAGCATCATGATATCTCGGCAAGCTAGGTTCGTCGGATCTGTTGTGATATGCGTTGCGGTTGGTTTGATGATGAATCGGAGAGGAGTAATTGAAGGAGGATGCAAGAGGATTCAGATATGTGAATTGATAATGAGTATGAAAGGGTGTATGAGATGTTTGTGAAGGACGATGAGTTCTGATTAGCATCTTTGTCATCCGACCTTTGCCATGACAGGTGCGCTTGCATGGCAGGTCACACAAAATCAATAATAATAAAAAAACAGTTTCGTGTTTGGTGAGGGGAGTTCGCACGGGAGATATTTTTTTAAAGCCCGGGTTCTCCCCTCTCCTTTTGTGTCTTGCTCTCTCTTTCTCTCTCTGATCTCAGTTCACCATAATATCTCTCGACACACAGACATATGTTTTGAATTGATCCGTGCGGATCTGAAGCCAAACGTTGCCGTATCCTAATCCATGGAGACCCAAAAGGTACTTTCAAATTGAGTCTTTATGTTCATCTTTTTATTCGTATTACAACCCCAACATCGGCTTTTAATTTGCTCCTACACAAATAATTATATTCAAATTTGTCTTATTGATGTTAACTTGAACTACTTTATTTTTATTTTCGTATATGAAAACGTCCAACAGCTTCACAAACTCCATAAATTTTATTTGATCTAGTTAGATTTTTTTTTTTTTTTGTAAGAAACTATGTTAAAATAGTACTATTTAATACAGATAACGATCATTAGAGTTGTTCATCACTTTTCACCATACTGTAAGCATATTGTACTGTTTCTGTAGCATACCTAGAGTCTTGCAACGTCTTTGAAGTCTAAAGACCTTGGGGAATGTTCTCAGCTCTTGCAGAGTTATTTTCATGTTGAAGCTTCGGGAACAAGTAACTTGTCTTACTTTTTTTGTGTGTAAAGTTGTCAATAGTTCGAGTCTACAGCTCTTGTTTCTTTGTTGAAAAGAGTATCTCGTTGTTTGACCATTTGAAGAAATTATTCAATTTTGAGTTGAAGTTTGAATATATTCATGCTGTTGCATTGGACTTTTTCTTTCATATTATTATGTTTTGATGCTGTAATTTCAGTTTCTATTTATACTTTTAACTTTTATTTAATTTGCATTATATTAACATTCTGAGATTATGATTGGGTAAATGTTAAAATGGACTGTAAATCTGATCCGTATAAAGCTTTGTCTCTCTATTGTGGATAGGGATTTGTCATCCAGGATGCTTCATGTGCAGAGATTGAGGCGTCATGTTGTTAACAAGTACCCCGCGAATTCTAACCCAGTTAGCAAGGTTTGCGTTACAATAGATCTGTAAGCTCAAAATGGTAGAGCTCTCGTTATGAGAGGTTGGTGGTTCGAATCCACCCAGATCTGTCTACTTCCTAATCTTTTCACCTCTTTTATTGAATTCATTTTAGTTATGAACTTTCAGTGTTATTGCACTTATTACTAAGGTAGTGTCAAAACGAAATTGCTTACAAAAATAACTTTTTGATTTTGCAATTGGCGGATAGGGACTGATGAACTGTTCATTGGTAATATGCAATGACGATGATCAACTATGTGACTTGGATTGCAAGCAGCTGAGCAAGGACTTACATTCATTCAACCAAGAAAGGTTGTTTTCGGGTGACTACATGCATTGATTTGTAATAGGCTGGTATCAACAAAAACATTTTTGGGCCAATATGTTAATTTAATACAAAAATCTGAAGGCTAAAAGTTCATGATTTGAACCTGTTAAAAAAAAAAAAAGATTTGGATCTGTTACCTTTGAATGCGAAGGATCATACTGTTTCCACCAGACAAATTGACAAATTGACTTCTGGTTAGGAACATATCTGAATGTATTGGTCAGTTACAACCAAACACCCAAGAGTTTTTAAAACTGTAGTAAAAGCACCAACAAGAAAATAAATTTCAAATAGTGCATTACATGATTAGACGGAGGAAAACCTACTATCGAAAAAGAGATTTCAGATTTATGGGTTTTCTGGCCGTAGCTACTACCCATGATAATATGGACACTAGTTGCATTAGGAGCAATAACAACGAGTGATGACCAAAGTCCATTAGATATATTCCTTTCTTCCCTCCCTCCGATCAGTTTGCTTGTATATATATACATATGTATGTGCTCAAATATGTAATGTAACTAAGGATGTGTGTCTATGCCTCCTGATTTCCAGTTCGTCTGTTTAAAATTCATACCTTGCTTTTTGTTGCGTCTTACTAAATCTTTACTTGTCAATTTATGTCTTCGTCTCTCTCTTCACAAACGCATTTCATGCTTTTCTAGAAGTTTAGACTATGAGTTGAGAGATGTGTGATTTTCTAGAGGATTTATCGTATACGCGTTCAAAGTTTGATTATTGACGAAAACTGGTGACAAATTCTCTAGAAATATCTGACTTTTTGGAGGTTGTTCCATATACACTAACAACAATGACACATACAAAACGTTTAGGTTTAGGTCCAGCCTCCATGATGACAACTGCAAATTGTAGACGTCGCTAAAATCTCAATGTGGCAATAAAAACGATTGACGCTGATCTTTTAACTTACTTGATGAGTTGTTTTTTTGGATTATAAGAAGAGGTATATTAGTAAACAATAATCTTGTTCCCAGTATATACCTGTATTTTTGAGACGACCCACTGATATATTTATATATATTATTTTCGAGTAAAAAAGATTATAAAAACTGATAAATTAAAAGTGATCATAAGGGTCTGATTAACGTCACATGGTGTTATTTTATGCCATTTAAATATTGGTCCAATGTCAATGATGTTGATTTAATCAACAACCATATAGAGTATGCTAAGTATATATACATGTATGTTTAATCTGAATAAACTGCATCATACGCACATGGTTATGTTTCTAAACCGAATCTTTAATGTTTTAAAATCAATATCTCGAAAACGTTACATTTATAATATTATTATTGGTTGTTGTCTTTTCTTGACTCTTTTTTTGTCTACCTGATACATGAAAGAGTGGTTTGCACATAACGTATATAAAATTAATACATGTTCTTTCTTACAAGGTAATTACCGAACTTAATTTTAATTACTTCTTCTAGATCATGGCACAATTGACGAAGACAAAAAAACACGAGTTCGTCAAACGTGAAACAAAGTTTATTGCATGATATTATAAACTAAGAAAATTATATCAATAATTTTATAATAGGTGATTTTATCATCTTCCATAAAAACTGTTTGATCTACAAATCTATATATGTTTTTCTGTATTAATCTTTATACAACTAATAATCAATGCGTATTCATTAAATTTTAAACTCTAAATTGGCTAATTGGATCAAGGAGTTGAGAAAATTTCATTTGTTCTCAAGTCTCCTCTTATTGTATTACATTTATAAATCCTATCTTAAATCCAAGGTTATTAGAATAGTTATTTTTATAAATTCTCTCAAATTCTAGTTTATTAGAAAATATGAATTTTGTAAATAAAATCCATTAAATAGTATTTGATTTTTTTCAAAAATAAAAATTTTCTTTTCACATTTTTAAAAGAAAATTAAATTATTTGAAATGAAAAAATTCAAATTTTTATAAATGAAAAATTAAATCAAATTTTATTTTATACATTTTATAAAATGATAATAATATCAAATTATAATAATTTATAAAATAAAAACTTATTTTAAAATGACAATTTTTCAAACTCTGATTTTTTTTCAAAACACTATAAATTTTGTAACAAATCGTTTTAAGATTTATTCAAATCTCAGATTTTTTGGATTTCAAATCTTGAGTTTACTCAAATCCTTGATTCAATAACCTCCATTTTATTGAATTCTTAATTAACCATTAGATCTGTGAAATTTCCACATTTTAGGTATTTTTGTAAAATCACCAAATCTTATTACTGCGCGATTTTCGGATCTCTTGACTTATAATAATAAGCGTTTCAGATCTTATTTATTTGGACAAACAAACGTAAAAATTAAAAATATTAAAGGAACTAATTGTATAAAATTAATTAAAATAGAACGATTTATTATTTACCAACGAATGGGCCTTTCACATCACAATAAACACACAGATAGACCCAAATTTTATAAAGTTTTTGAAAATAATTAATACAATTTATTATTTTCAAGTGCCACACAAATTGGCTAATGTCTTTTCCCCACGTTATTCCGCTTTAAGTCCTTTCTAAGTGGGAATGATACTCGCGTGACGACCAAACCTCATTGATACTTCTCTCTCTCTTTCTTTCTCTCTCGATCACTAATACAAAGAGGTCCTTATTATCAGCCCAGGTCAGATCCTCTTTGCGTTTTCAACTTTGATATTCATTCGTTCGTCTTAAAATCTTGTTTCTGAAAGCTTATATCATTTTCAAGTCTCTCTCGACTAAGAAGTTTGTTATCTTTAAAAAGTCAACATATACGTTTCGAGAAAGGCCTGTGATTTCCTAGAGAGTTTTTTTTTTTTGTCAAAGTAGGATTGTTGACAAAAACTTTTGTAAAATCTTCATTAGGTAAAGGTAATTTACTAGTAGGATTTCTTGATCCCGTTTTAGATGTTAGATTATTATTTATCTATTAATAGCCGATCAAACCTCCTCTTGCTGATTCTTGACTCTAATCTAGCTCCTATTGGATCATAACTATATTTTAACATTTCTAGGCTTTGAAGCTATCTCTTAAGAGATTAAAAGATTGTTAACTAAACATGTTTAAGAGAAGAAACGCTCACCAACTTGATGATGGTTCTCAGCATGATAACAAGGTATACAAGAATCTTTATTGTATTTTTCTCTCATTAACATAACTTCAAAAGTCTTACGCATATAAAAATTCAGGTTAAAGAATTGAGATCTGCGTTAGGACCGCTCTCTGGACATAGTCTAGTGTTCTGCTCTGATGCTTCCTTGAGGAGATATTTGGCTGCTCGTAATTGGAATGTGGAGAAAGCCAAGAAAATGCTTGAGGAGACTCTTAAGTGGAGATCAACATACAAACCTCAAGAGATCCGTTGGGTAAGTTTAACTCTATTTTACTCATGTAATCGATGTTTTTGTATATTCTTACGCGTAAATAATCCTTTTCTCTTTTTAATTTTCTACAGAATCAAGTAGCACATGAAGGTGAGACCGGTAAAGTTTCAAGAGCTAGTTTTCATGATAGACAAGGTAGAGTAGTGCTTATAATGAGACCAGCATTACAGGTAAATAATCGCATTTTCACATATTTTGACTATTTAAAAAATATTTTTCATGATTTTTTAAAAACTCTTAATATTGTAAAACAGAACTCAACATCAGCAGAAGGTAATATCAAGCATTTGGTCTATCTTCTAGAAAATGCAATCCTCAATCTTCCCAAGGGACAAGAACAAATGTCTTGGCTCATCGATTTCACTGGATGGTCTATGGCTGCTAATGTCCCTATGAAAACAACACGTGAGATTGTCTACATTCTACAGAATCATTACCCTGAAAGACTCGGTATCGCCTTTTTATACAATCCACCAAGACTTTTCCAAGCAGTCTACAAGGTAAAGAGTCATTACACTTTTCATCAAAATGTCTTTTCCTCTTTTTAAAAGTTTTTGTGCACCCATTAAAGTGTGATTTATTTACCTACTCTTCTACCTGTAGGCTGTTAAGTACTTCTTGGACCCATGTACAGCTCAAAAGGTCAAATTTGTGTACCCTAAAGACAAAACAAGTGACGAACTGATGACATCACACTTTGATGTTGAGAATCTTCCCAAGGAGTTTGGAGGAGAAGCAACACTAGAGTATGATCATGAGGAGTTCTCAAAACAAATGTGTGAAGATGATGTCAAAACAGAAAAGTTCTGGGGATTGGAGGAGAAGCAGTATCCGAAACCAAATGGTTTTTCTCCAGCCGATGTTGTTCCTGAACCAGCCACTTCTCTTGCATCAGCAGCTAGCTGAGACTTATATATATATATACACACACACAAACAAGAGGAAAAGAGTAGTTAAAGGTGTACTCTCGTGGAAGAAGAGCCAATAAAAATGTCGTTTTTACTTAGAAAATTAATAAGGTTCCAAGTCTGCTTAGTGAACCAAAGACCTTTTAAATGTTATAATTAGCAGAGACGTTCCTTGTCATGAATGTTGTATGTGTGAGAATATAGTTAAGGTGTGTAATTGTTTTGTGTTTAGTAATTGAAGTTATCCATTTATTTTTGATGATTTTTTTTCAAGTTTAAGTCTTGCGTTCTGATGAAACATTGCTCTTGGCTAATCCATCTACTACAATATTTTTAAGTTATATGTCAAGATAGGCTTTGAAATGCTATTATGTCTCTCTAGAGCTTTTTAAAGACTAATTTCAAAAGGCTAGCTATTCATATTCTACATTTATTAATAATACATATAAACTTCTTTTATTGATGTAAAGTATATTTTGTATTTTCAAAAAAAAAATGTAGCAACAAGTTATTTAACATTCATAAGTGAAAAACAATGAAAATCACTAAATATATTATGTATTAAGTTTAATAAATTCAAATTAATGCTGTATCAGAAATTTGCCTAATACAAAATAATAAACTAAAATGTGATATAATGACATGTGTTGTAATCATAACAACAGCTCCCGTAGCTCAGTTGGTTAGAGCGTTGGTCTTATGAGCCGAAGGTCGCGGGTTCGAGCCCCGCCGGAAGCATTTTTATTTTAATTTTTTTTTTAATCTATGCCCTCATTTTTTTTCCATAAATTTCACAATTTTTATTTCACCTACGCACGATTGATTTTCAAAATCATCATCTCCGTTCTCATCTGCAAGTGAATTCAATTTCAGTTTTATGCTCAACGAAATATGTTGTAATAAAAAACTTTTTCTTGGGTAAATTATTACATGATCCTACCGACATGTTCTCACCTTTGATCTCATCTTTCATTTCTCAACCGATATTTAACTCCTAAAAAAAAATTGAGATTTTGATTCCACAAAAGATACAATGGTTCACAACGCTTACGATTCATTCCAGCTCCTCGACAATTGCCCTGCTCGGATCGATGCCCTCGAATCCTACAATTCCAAGCTCTTCGCCGGATGCAGCGACGGCTCCCTCCGCGTCTACTCTCCTCCACAATCCTCCTATTCCTCCTCCTCCTCTGAGCTGTGTCAAGAGCCTTACGTCCTCGAGACAACCGTCTCTGGCTTCTCCAAGAAACCAATCGTGTCCTTAAAGGTTCTAGCTTCAAGAGAGCTGCTTCTGTCTCTCTCTGAGTCAATCGCCTTTCATAAGCTTCCTAACTTGGAGACCGTCGCTGTGATCACCAAAGCTAAAGGCGCCAACGCTTATGCTTGGGACGATGTCCGTGGCTTCCTCTGTTTCTCTAGGCAGAAGAGGGTTTGTGTCTTCAAGCACGACGGTGAATAAAGCTTTGATCTTTTCTATGCATTTGATTGAATGTTTGATTTTTTTCTACAAATTTGATTGAAAGTTTGGATCTTTTGTACACATTTGATTGAAAGCTTTGATTTTTTCTACAAATTTGATTGAAAGTTTGGATTTTTTGTAGACACTTGATTGAAAGTTTGGATTTTTATTGCTGAAGAGTTGAGTTTTGATGATGGGTTTGTTTTTCAGGAGGAGGAGGGTTTGCTGAAGTGAGAGACTTTGGGGTTCCTGATACTGTAAAGTCTATTTCTTGGTGTGGTGAGAACATTTGCTTAGGGATTAGGAAAGAGTATGTGATACTTAATACTGCTAATGGGACACTCTCTGAAGTGTTTCCTTCTGGTAGAGTTGCTCCTCCTCTTGTGACTTCTCTACCTTCTGGTGAACTTCTCTTGGGGAAGGTGAATACTTGTTGTAGCATCTGTTATTTGTCGTGTGTGATGTTCTTCTTTGTATCTGACGTCTTCTTTGTACTTGTAGGAGAACATTGGAGTTTTTGTTGATCGAAATGGGAAGTTACTTCAGACGGAGAGGATTTGCTGGTCAGAGGCTCCAACGACTATTGTTATTCAAAACCCGTATGCGATAGCCTTGTTGCCACGACGAGTTGAGGTATGTAATGTTCTATGAGAAGTAAGTTCGCTTCTCTTTACAGTTCTAGAAACCTGTTAGTTATGTGTTTATGCCTTTGTTTTAATTAGGTTCGCTTGCTACGAAGCCCATATCCTTTAATACAGACAGTTGTTCTCCAAAATATTCGTCACCTTGTCAAGAGCAACAATGCTGTGATTGTTGGTTTGGATAAATCTGTTCATGTTCTTTTCCCTGTCTCTATCGGTGCCCAGGTATTTACTTTAGCTCTGAGAGATGTTTCTAGCTACTGCTCATTGATGAATACAATAAATGTGTTACCTCTTACCTTATTTATCGGTTGAATATGATACTAATTTTCAGTATGCAATGTAGAGTGACTTTACTTTAACTCGTAGGAAATGCTTTTGGATTTTGCTGATAAAGTTAAGTGTTATCGCAGATTGTGCAGTTAACAGCTTCTGGAAACTTTGAGGAAGCCTTAGCTCTATGCAAGTTACTCCCTCCTGAAGAGTCAGGTCTAAGAGCTGCGAAAGAGAGTTCTATTCATACAAGGTATTAAAACGCCAGAACTTCGATATTTACTCTGTGGTAATGTGCAGCTCCATGGGAATCTCTTATGTTCATACTTGTTGTCTCTTTATCATGATACAGATTTGCTCATTATCTTTTCGAGAACGGGAGCTATGAGGAAGCCATGGAACACTTCGTGGCATCTCAAGTAGATATCACGCATGTACTTTCCATGTATCCATCCATTACTCTTCCTAAAACAACAATGATTCCTCAACCAGATAAGATGGTGGACATCTCTGGGGATGAAGCTGCTCTGTCTAGAGGCTCATCCGGCTTTTCAGATGATATGGAGTCTTCATCTCCTAGATATTTCTTGGAATCTGAAGGCAATGCAGCTCTTGAATCTAAGAAAATGAGCCACAACACTCTGATGGCTCTTATAAAGTACTTGCAGAAGAGGAGACCAGGTATTATCGAGAAGGCTACTTCTGAAGGAACAGAAGAGGTTATTTCAGATGCCGTTGGCAAAACTTATGGAGCGTATGACTCGTCCAAGGCCAAGAAGTCCAATAAGGTAATAACTGATTATTGACTTCTTTTTTTGTTGAGGGTTTAACAAATTTTCTTTTCTGTAGGGACGTGGTATGATCCCACTTAACTCAGGTGCAAGGGAGATGGCAGCAATCCTTGATACAGCTCTTCTCCAAGCACTTCTACACACTGGCCAGTCTGGAGCTGCTATAGATTTATTAAAGGGTGTCAACTACTGTGACGTGAACATTTGTGAGGAGATTCTCATGAAAAGTAACAATTACCCTGCACTTTTGGAATTGTTCAAGAGCAATTCGATGCACCATGAAGCCCTTAAGCTTCTTAAACAGCTCTTGGAAGAGTCTAAATCAAACCAGTCACAAGCTGATGTTAAGCAGATGTTTAGTCCTGAGTTGATCATTGAATATCTCAAGGCAGGTTTTCCCAATGCTAACTTTTTTTCTTTCTCGTCTTGTCTCTCTATCGGTTCTTAATGGTTCTGCTAACTGTTTGTTGGTGGATTTTTTTCTCTTTGTAGCCTCTCTGCAGGACTGATCCTATGCTTGTCCTGGAGTATTCTATGCTTGTTCTGGAGAGCTGTCCAACACAAACCATCGACTTGTTTTTGTCTGGAAATATCTCTGCCGACCTTGTCAATTCATATCTGAAGCAGCATGCTCCAAATATGCAGGGTAGATATTTAGAACTTATGATGGCGATGAATGAAACCGCAGTTTCAGGGAATCTCCAAAACGAGATGGTGAGGAAATAGCACTTATATTTTCATTGAGCTTACGTTACATAAGCAGTACATATTGCTGGCAGTAACAGTTTGGATGATGTTACAGGTACAAATCTACCTTTCAGAAGTGCTTGACTTGCATGCTGCTAAAAGCGCGCAGCAGAAATGGGATGACAAGGATCATCCTCCTGAAAGGAAGAAACTATTGTCTGCGTTAGAGAGCATCTCCGGATATAATCCACAGACTTTGTTGAAGCGTCTTCCACGTGATGCTCTCTATGAAGAGCGTGCTGTTATATTGGGGAAAATGAATCAGCATGAGCTTGCTTTGTCTATCTATGTTCATAAGGTACTGATCAGTAATCTTCTCTTGTCACCGAATAATCATCCACATGAGTGATGCTAATGGTTTAACTCGTTGGTTTTTGTTTCTTATAGCTTAATGCACCTGATCTGGCGCTGGCTTATTGTGATCGTATATATGAATCCGTATCTTATCTACCATCTGGAAAACCGTCAAGCAACATCTACCTCACACTGCTGCAAATATACCTGAATCCTAAGAAGAGTGCAAAGGACTTTGCAAAACGTATTGTAGCTCTAGGATCATTCGAAAGTTCAGACACCACGAAGATGATGGAGTCTGTTTTGTCTTCAAAAGTTAAAGGCAGCCGTTGGAAGAAAATTGTTGCAATAGAAGGTGCTGAGGATATCCGTGCTGGTCTCAGTAGCAGCACTGACAGTGGAAGAAGCGATGTTGATGCTGAAGAACCCATGGAGGAAGGAAACTCCACCGTTATGATTTCTGAAGTTCTTGATCTGTTGAGCCAAAGGTGGGAGAGGATCAATGGTGCACAAGCCCTTAAGCTTTTACCTAGGGAAACTAAACTCCAGGTGAAGTGTTATTGAATCTGACTTGTCTAGCATCTGATTGAAGTGTAACTCATTCTTGTTCGATTCCCTGCAGAACTTGCTTCCGTTTCTTGCACCCCTTCTAAGAAATTCAAGCGAAGCACACAGGAACTTTTCAGTTATCAAGAGTTTGAGGCAGAGTGAAAACTTGCAGGTATGTTTTTGTGTTGATGGATGAATTATAAACGCTTAGGATTAGCTGTTATTCATCGTAACAGAGGAAACTGTATGTTGAAAAAAAAAATAGGTGAAAGAAGAACTGTACAAACATAGGAAAGGAGTGGTGCAAGTGACAAGCGATAGCATGTGTTTGTTGTGCAACAAGAAGATCGGGACAAGCGTCTTTGCTGTTTATCCCAACGGGAAAACTTTAGTTCACTTTGTTTGCTTCAAAGATTCTCAAGGCATGAAAGCTGTTTCTAAGACATCACATGGAAGAAGACGATGAGATGATCATTATTACTGTAACAAAACACAGGTTTAGCGCATTAAACCATCTCCCTTTTGTCAACTCTTTTT